TCATCCAGCTCTACACCTTGTTATCTCAGATTCTCCAGCATCTGCAGTTCCTACTATCTCTGAAACCATTCTCTTTAATATTCATCAAAGTTCATAATAATCTTAACACCCCAGCATGGGGCTTCTCCCATTTACTGTCCAAGTTGATAGACTGCATTGATGAAATTACAGTAAAGCTTGTTTATAAAATTTAAAGCTTGCATTGTTAGGGGCTTTGGTTTTTGCCTCATTTCTTTCTCAACTTCCTTCATCCAGAGTGTCATTAACTTCTGTGCAATCTCCGTAGGAGGATGGATGAAAAGGCAAGGTGTTTGGTCTCCAGGGCCTGTAGACTGATGTATGGATGAACATGCAATGATGTTCACACAAAGGACTGCTCAGCTTTGCCAATCTTCCCAACTCCATCAAACCATGCTGGACCAGTTTGACCGACAATTAAGAAGCAACTTTCTTCACATAAAGGATAATAAATTTACTCAATGAAAGCCCTTAGGCATTCCCTTACAGTATCAAAGTATATGCTATATAGTTTTGCGTTAACATTTATTGCAGATCTTGATGGAAACATTTCAAAATACATATTGAAAGAAAGCTTACTCTGGAGACAAGAAGAAGGTATAGAGCTTGTGATCTGATCCTTTTACTGATTCTAAATTAATCTTCTTTCTGGCTTTGAAGTTTTGCTCATTTGGGTTTGTAGAGTTGTGCAGGAGCACCAGAATAAAGGGCTCAGCTTCACTGGCGATGAAAGCTCCTGAATCTGCAATAGAATTATTGGAAGAGAAGTGCCAGTATTAAACTGTGTATTGTGCTATTACATATAATGACATGTGATGTGTTGCGACTCTGGAACTAGGAGCTCCTGGATGTCATTACATTCCAGAACAACATGTCTGTGGTTGAGTGTCTGCAGCTTAAGGAACATCAGCACAGAATTTACGAACTAAAGAACAAGCTGCAGACAGTGGATCAGGGAGGGAAAAAGTTCCTTAACATTTTCTTCCAGAAAATGGTTGCACCCTTCAGGTTAGGGACTTGTGATTTGGTCAGTTCAGGGAAAAGACTGTGTGACTGCAAGTAAAGCAGGTAAGGGGGCCCAGAGGAAAGGTATGCAGAAACCTTGGCCTTTAAAACTGTCCAACAGGTCTGAGATACTGTCAGCTTGTGGATTAGGGCAGGAGCTCCAGGATGGATAACCTTCCTGGCAATGGCACCATGGTACGAGAAGCCATTCAAGTGGGAGAGGCAAAAGAAGAATATAGTGGGAATAGGGGACTATATGAGAGGGGCTGACACAGTTCTCTGCAGCAAAGAGCAAGCATCCAGAAGTAAAAACCAAAAACACAGCCGAAACTCGGCAGGTCCGGCAGTATCAGTACAGGGAGAAACAGAGGTGCAATATGAATCCAATATGACTTCTTGAGTGGCTCAGTGGTTAGCATTGCTACCTCACAGCACCAGGGACCCAGGTTTGATTCCACCCTTGGGTGACTGTGTGGAGTTTGCATATTCTCCCGGCGCCTGCATGGGTTTCCTCCAGGTGCAGGGTAGGTGGACTGGCCATGCTAAATTGCCCATAGTGTCCAGGAATGTTTAGGATAGGTGGCTTAGACATGGGAAATGCAGGGCTAGAGGAATGGGTCTGGGTGGGATGCTCTTCGGAGGGGCAGTGTGGACTTGTTGGGCCAAATGGCCTGTTTCCACACTGTAGGGACACTATAACTAAAGAGTTCGAACAGCTGTATTGTCTGCCTGATACCATGGTTCGGGACATCCGCTCAGGGCTGGTGAGGAACCTGCAGTCCGTATGGAAGGATCCAGTAATTGTGATCCATGTAGGTTTGGAAACATATGTAAGACGATGAAACAGGCTCTGAACAAGCAACATGAGGAGTGAGGAAGCAAAATAAAAAGCAGAAACCCAAAAATAATGATCCTTCAATTCTCATGGTTGAACCTAGAACTAGAAGCCACTGTTTAAAAATAAGGGGTCACCCTTTTAAGACAGAAATAAGGATAATTCTTTTCTCATGGTGGGGGGAAGAATCCAGAATCTTTGAATATTTTTAAGGCAGAGGTAGGTTCTTGATGAAAAAGGGGGAGGGTGGAATGAAAGAACATCTAGGTAGATGAGAAGGTGGAGTAATCAGATCAGACATGACCTTACTGTATGCTGGAGCAAATTTAAGGGGCCGACTCCTACTTCTATTTGACATGTTTACATATACCCCTTGTCCTCTTCACAATTATCTCAATTTTCTTATACATACCATTTAAAACTGTGTACGTGACTTGAATGTGGAGGCCAGCCTTTTTATTCAAATTTCCAGAGGTGACATTCACAGTTACTGATCTCCTTGCAGCAATAATGGTTGTATTAACGGTGACATTTCTGCTGGCAGAGTTGGTCGACACGCTAACAGTAATGGCCTTCTCTGAACCCAAGCTTTCAATGGGGATCTGCGACCCATTGTCAGTCTTGAACTCGATGGAAGCCACTTTGCTGGAAATGGTGTAATTCTTTATGTAGCCATAAGGAAAAGGATTGGAGTCCACAAGAAACATGACCTGTGTTACGTCACTGAGGTTGGAAAATATACTGTTGAAGGATGGTGGGATGGAGAACTGGCAGCCGGACTTGTTGGCAAAGCACAACAGATGGCCAGGGTCAGCCCTCTTGCCTTGGGCCCACATCCTTGCACCCGATACACTCAAAGGCTCTTCATTCAGGACCCGTGTACCCATCAGAATCTGCATCAATTTCATGGACAGATCATAGGCCTTTGTTGCCACCAACTCAGGTTTGTACATGGATGGCCTGGTGACCTTATTCATCACTGGAACCAACTGATTAGTCATATCGATCAGACCTCCTATAGAACAAACAAATTGCAATGTGAAAGACCTTCATTCAGTCACATTGTCTGATGCTAGGAAGATGGGATGAGAGAATGATTCCTCTCCTGCACATTATGGAATCAAATCTTCTCTAATATCAACAAGAGTAAAGATATCAAGTTGCCAACTTGTTTTACATCATTGCACAAAATCGAGACTTTTTTTCTAATTTTTGAGACATTATTTAATTATTTAGACCAGTGCAGTCTAGTTGGATCTCTACATTCACCACAAGATACAAATCACACAGAAAGCATGGGTGAGTTTTGTCACAATCTCTCAGAGGTTAAGTAGGATAGAGGGACAAGAATAAAGGTAAACAGTAGTGTACTGCACTATGGCAGCAGCACTGTTACAGAACACTATTAGTAACAACATCTAATCACTAAACAATATTCAGTTGTGATGTTGCAATTAATGTATTTCAACATGTTTTCACTTCTTTAACAGGGGTCTCTCTAATTCATAGCTTAATTGAATCAGGCTCCAGATTTTCTTTTAATGTAAGGGATCGCCCTGCCACAGGACTTCCTATTTACTTTTGTCAGACAAACTGGAACCACACCCTTGGTGGAATGCGCTACTGCAGATTCCTGATGTCCATCTTATTGAAATCTCTCACCTGGATGAAGAGCATCAATTTGGCATGTGTGTTGAGTAGTGAGTGTATTAGACAACATTGATCTACATCCACAATTACTTTACAGCAGTGCTTGTGTCTCCATTTACCATTACTTTGAACTTACCCACAGTGACAAGGATATTATCCCCAATGGAGGTTGGCGTCATTTTACCCTGCCCAGTTTCCTTTTGGAGGACCGCTATCATGTTGTCCAGGGCAAACAATGTCTGGTTCTGACATTTGCTACAAATTAATTCTTTGCTGATGACCTGGCAGAAAGGACAGAAGAAAAGTGATTAAAGGTTCAGTTTAAATATGGCAAGCCAATCTTTTCCTCTGACTTTCCAGAATCCCTTTTATCTTAGGAACATGTTACAACTAATCTGAGGAAAGGCATCAGAAAGGTTTCCTGGCCCTCCAAGGTTAATTCAGCCAAGGCCAATCAACTAAATTATTCAAGCAATGATTTACAAAACTGTATAATTTTTCCAGCACCATTCATGATTCCTCAAATACTGAAACAGTCCACGTCCATGTGCAGCAGATTTGGGCAACATCCGGATTTGGCTGAAAAGAGGCAAGTAACATTCATACCACAGAAGTACCAGGTAATTACCAAAAAGAGAGAATTTAACCGTTTGCCCCTTCAGGTTCAAATGGCATTACCATCACTGAACCCCCCACCATCAACATCTTAGGGGTTTCCATTAACAAGAAACTGAAGTGGACTAGCCATATAAAGGCTACAAGAACAGGGCACAGGCTGGGAATTCTGTGGTGAGTAACTCCCCTTAGCTGTCCACAATGCATGTCCACTGTCTACAAGGCCAGAGGCTGACAGAATACTTTTCACATGCCTGGATGGGTGCAGATCCAACAATGCTTAAGAGGCTCAATACCATTCTGGACATAGGAGGTTTGATTAGCACTCATACAACCAACTTCAACATTCACTCCCTTCACTACGATGCACGGCGGCAGCAGTGTGTACCTTTTACAAAATGCACTGCAGCTACTCACTACAGCTCTTTCAACACTACCTTCCAAACCTGCATCCTTTGCGACTTAGAAGCAGAAGCACAGCAAATACGTGGGCACATCAGTACTCGCAAGTTCCTCTCCAAGCCACATATCATTTTGGCCAGGCCCAAAGAGCCAAATGGCTTCTTTCCCTGCTGTGTGGTCCTTTGACATTCAACTCCTTTTCAAAAGTCATTAATGAATCTGCTTTTACGACCTACTCAGGCAGTGCATTCCAGATGGTAAATATATGCCATGTCAAAAAAAACCTCCCCTACGCTCTGGTTCTTTTGCCAAAATCATAAAATGTCATCTTAAACCTAAAGCACTAAATTCCTCTCTCTGGACGAATTTCCAAGTGATAGCTCCTGTTTGATGAAGTTACTGAAAGGCATTGTTTTTATTCTTCATGTAGAGGATGGAGAAGTTCTCACCGTGCACTGCGCCAATGCTGCAGAGATCTGCTGGATATCATCCACAGTGCTGACCTCCAGTGAAGTAAGGGCCAGTGTGATGTTACTGCGGATGTCAATCCTGCTAATTGTGTCATTTGTCCACACCTTTTCAAAGACTTTGGTCCTCTCGTACTGCAGGGGATGTATTTAAAACATGAGTTTTAACATAGTTCAGTCATGATCAGATGAGGTAATAACACGTCTTATTGTCGACTGCTGTCTGGCTCAAGCATAAAGGCCTCATGTCATCTTCTCCATCTCCTGTTTAATGATCTTTTAGATTGGAACTTCTTGTTATAGTGTTGTAAACTGCTCAAATCTTTGTAATTTTTGTTCATTTTTCTACTTGTTTGTTACAGATTCAGCCCAGATTAAAGTACATTCTGCAAGCCATGATTTCAGCCTTCTTTTAGTTTATTCATGTTTCCAATGTGAGTGCCACCAGAATTTTATTGTCATTCTTAATTACCCTTGAAAAAGTGGGAGTGATCCACCTTAAACCAGGCACAAATCTCAAATTCCTTCCCTAAACCTTTCTGCACCCCTATCTCAAACTTTCGCTCTGTAGGTCACACCTTTAGACCCACCTCTCTGACCAAGCTTTTAGTCATCTGTCCTAATGCCTCCTTATGTGGTTTGGTGTCAAAGCATATCACATAATACTCCTACAAAGTTTCTTGGGGCAATCTGCTGAAGTTGTTATATAACTACAACTTGTATCAAAATAATTTTGGCAACAGTTTTAAAAAATTATTCTGCTTTGATAAGATGAGAATGAATTCTTCCCCGTATTAACTTTAAGCAAATAAATAAGACCAATTAGGGTTCCCCTTCAAATTACTAGCAGGAAGGATTTACCCTTGGATAAGATTAGGGAATGGTTGTGACGCTGGTGGCAAAATGGATTTGGGACACTCTCTTGCATGGAACCTGACTGATGGCTATCACCTCACTTTGGGTCTCACAATGAAAATGGCACATAATATAGCACCAACTGGTGACCTTACTCATCGAGTCCACATGAATGCCGAGTGGAGGAACAGGTCAGCTGACACCTTTTCCGACACATGGCTCAATTCTGGAATGTACCAGAAATATGTGACAGTCTTTGCTAAACGCTGCTGTGCCATTTAATAAATTTCATGCTCTTTATGGGATGATGCAAAAGCCTCAGACACTACATATGTTATTATCATTTTGCACTTAATTCAACAATACAAGCTTGCATATATCTTGTGCAGTTAAGGTTGCGAAAGTCCCAAGGTACTACAGAGGAGAAAAGTCAGAAACGTCCAGAGGAGGTGGTATCAGGAACAGTGACTCAAAGACGTTGGTTTAAAGAGGAGAGATTTAGGGATTTAATTGCAAGTTAAAAGGCTAGGTAGCTGAAGCAAGGCCAAAGGCAGGAATAAGGTTGTGGAAGAAACAGTGAGCAGTGCCCTACCTCATTGAGCACTGTGACCAGGGCAAGGGCGTACTCCACAGTAGGCTGTGGGTCACCCTGTTTCAACAGCTCCTGCAGTTTAGTCTCAGTCTCGAGCTTCATCCAGTCAGTGAGACTTTGGAACCCTTCAGGAGTGTTTGTTATATTAATAACCACGGACCTGCAGAAACCAATGGCAACAGTGGATTAAATATCTCGTTATGCAAACTTGGAAGCAGCATAAGATTAATCAAAATACTATCCACAATCATGTCCAGTGAGCTCCATTGTCCACTCTTAGCGACTACTTACTCTTGCACATCAGAACAAGCAGAGCCTTAAATTTGAATATTAATGCCAGACTCAAATCCTCCAAATTAGAGTAAAAACCAAAAGTACTTAGGATGCTGTAAATCAGAAACAAAAACAGAAATTGCTGGAATAGCTCAGCAGGGCTGGCCACTTCTGTGGGGAGGAATCGAAGTTAATGTTTCGGATCGAGTGACCTTTCCTCAGAACCGAGGTTCTGCAAGTTAAGGGGCTAGGTAGGTGAAGCAAGGCCAAGGGCAGGAATAAAGTTGTGGAAGAAATCAGCGAGCAGTGCCCTACCTCATTGAGCACTGTGACCATGGTGAAGGTATACTCCACAGCAGGCTGTGGGTTACCCTGTTTCAACAGCTCCCGCAGTTTAATCTCAGTCTCAAGCTATATCCAGTCAGGGAGACTTTGGAACCCTTCGGGGTTCAACTGAGGTTCTGAGGAAAGCTCACTCAATCCGAAACGTTAACTCTGATTTCTCTCCACACATGCTGCCAGACCTGTTGAGCTTTTCCAACAATTTGTTTCCCTCCAAATTAGAAGGATGTCATCTGATTATAAGACTGTATAGATAAAAAAATACTCTTCTTCCCACTTTACCTGATTTTCCCCAATGCTATCTTACTGTTTCCCCAGTATAGCACTCAGATATATTTTAAGTTCAGCTCCCAACCTCTCACAGCCTTTCCTGGCAATAGGACCCATATGTTAATCTGTCTCACTATCTGAAATGTAGTCACAAAACCTCAAAACAAGAGACATCACCTAATCAAAACTCCAGTGACTATTTGATTCAGTGTGATGATTACAAAATGAACATTCACTTGGATCGTCACTAAGGTTTAGCCTTAAATTTAAATTTGAAACTAATACAAAAGAATGTAAATTAGGAATTTAAAACGTAGCTTAAATAGAAATACTGTCTCATTTTTAGGATACAAAATCACACAATTTCATTACATATTGCACATAATGATGTTGTATTGAAGCACTTGGGATTTTTGAATAACATACTCCTTTAATTCAACATCATTCATTGCAAATAATTACGACACTTCCTTATTCAAAAAACAATGAAGTCCACTGGGAAAGGCAGTTAGCACTATCTACGTACCGGTTCAGAGCTATTACAGAGGCTCCCTGCTGGTTCTGAACAGTGACAGCAATGTAAGCGATGAATCGGTTTGAGCTGAAGCCAGGGGGAAGGACTGCACTGTACTCAGATCTGCTGCCTTTGTACACATAGAACTCATCACAGTGAGTTCCTCCAACACCACAGCGAGTTAGGATGAAGCTATACACAAGAGGAATCCCAGTAGTCTCCCAACCTACAAAACATGAAGCAAGATCACTGAAAGTCATCTTTAAAACCTGTGTAAATCTCAAGTTGGAGCTGGTTTATAAACAATGATAAATATCAGCTAAAAGAAAAAGGCTGAATTGTCACTTAATATTAGGTGTTTGCCCTAATATCCTAAACTCAATCTGTGTTGTAAACAGGCAACACTTGTACTAGTCTTGTACTGAGATCAATTCAATTGTAAAATAATGGGCAACATTTCAACTTACCCACCACCTCAGACAGTAAAACGTCAGGCCTAGGGATTCATAAGGTTCTATACTGACAGAACCAAACCAGTGCCAGATATGATGGATGAACACAGCAGGCCAAGCAGCATCAGAGG